TACAGGGTTAATCCATAGGCGTCACTTATGCATATCACAAACCAATTTGTACTGGACATTGCCCAATGTCAGGCGACCATGGGAATGACGAATTATTGGAGCTTTGTTTGGGAGACTTCTTAGCAGCATCCTGTTACAATTATTTCTTGTCATGTATGGGACAATAAAACAAATCAAATGAAATATAGGGGGAGTCCATGGGGACACTCCACCCCCTCTTGTTTGAGAACTTGTAAACAGTCAAGATCCCCACCCCTAAACCATATATACTCATGTATGGGACAATATAACAAATCAAATGAAATATTTGGGGAGTCCCTGGGGTCACCCCACCCCCTCCTGTTTGAGAACTTGGAAATTGTCGAGATCCCCACCCCTAAACCATATGTATTCATGTAGGGGACAATATAACAAATCAAATGAAATATAGGGGGAGTCCCTGGGGTCACCCCACCCCTTCCTGTTTGAGAACTTGTAAACGGTCGAGATACCCACACCTACACCATATTTATTCCTGTTCATCATTTCAAAAAGATTTGAATGACATACAGGGTCAATCTCCTAGGTGTCACATATGCATATCACTTTACTAGACCAAACCAATATGAACTGGACTTTGCCCAATGTCAGGAGACCATGGGAATGAAGAATTATGGGGGCTTTGTTTGGGAGACTTGTAACGGCATCCTGTTACAATTATTTCTTGTTTATTATAAAATTTTATTGATGCAAAAAATGAGTCTAGGTTAAATGAATTTACTTTAATTATTTATTAAATTATTTCTGGGTCTATAATAATTTTCATTTATGTCTCATTTTAACATTGTTTTAAGCAGTGTAAAGCCCGAGAATGTTTGACCAACTGTTTTATAATCACCTGTCATTTATTTTAAACTTGGTATGGAGTAACATCATGCATATGGGGGTGAGGATGGGGTCATTCACATTGATATATGAGTTGCTTTTGAAAACCTTGATGAAATATTAATTAATTTGCCTTAATAATCAATTCATTTAATGAACATAAATGTACAATATACGAATGTTTAATGTTTGTTCTTTCAAATTTAAAAAAAAAAATTGAAGCAACACTGCCACAGTTTTCATAATTACGTTTGCCTTGGTTTTTGGTTAACTGCTTACAGCGCTTACAGTGCTTTGATTTAACTTTAGTTTGCCTCAACCAAATGTTATGAAACTTATACACAATGCTTATTACTACATAATACAGATTAAGTACGAAATTTTGGTGGTGACACTTTTACCATACTTGAGTTATGTCCCTTTATAAACATAAACATTGCTGAATTTTTTAGTTTGTCTCAACCAAATGTTATAAATCTTAAACACAACCGTTCTAGAGTTATCATGGTTATGCGTGTTTACAAATAGATAAATTGCTGAATTTTTAGTTTCTCTTGACTTAAGTTAGCCTCAACCAAATGTTATGAGACTTACACACAATGCTGGTTACCACAAAACTCAGATCAATTTCAAATTTGGATAGCTTCACTTTTACCGTTCTTCAGTTATGTCCCTTTATAACTATATGATATGCAAGCAGTGGCATCATCTGTGTCCACATGTGGACACTATCCACATTTATTTTTTTCAGAGACAAGTGCATGTGATTCCCATTGCCATTCCGTCATAAAAATTACCTTCTACATCATAGTCTGTCTACAACAAGGTCTTCCCATGAAAACTGCTACAGACAAATTCAATGTAATAAAGACCGCTACAGATTTTCTTTCTTTTGTCAAACAATTAAAGGCTGGAAAAAAATGTTCTTAAGTTATATTAAATTACATGTAAGGTGTACATGTCTGTCTGGCAGATTTCAGCTGTCCGTGACCTCATTTTCATAGTTTATTGGTCAATGTTAAGATTTCATGTTTTTTTGTCGAGCCTGCGACTTTTGCAGAAAGCTCGACATAGAGATAGTGATTCAGCGGCAGTTATGGCGGCGGCGGCAGCGTTAGATAACTTCTAAAAAGCTTTATATTTTAGAAGGTGGAAGGTCAGGATGCTTCATACTTTGTATATGGATGCCTAATGTTACGAAGTTTCCGTCAGTCACATGTCCAATGTCCTTGACCTCATTTTCATGGTTCAGTGACTACTTGAAAAAAAAGTTAGGATTTTTTGTATTGTTAAATTCTCTCTTATTATAAGTAATAGGATAACTATATTTGGTATGTGCGTACCTTGCAAGGTCCTCATGCCCGTCAGACAGTTTTCACTTGACCTCTACCTCATTTCATGGATCAGTGAACGAGGTTAAGTTATGGTGGTCAAGTCCATATCTCAGATACTATAAGCAATAGGTGTAGTATATTCGGTGTATGGAAGGACTGTAAGGTGTACATGTCCAACTGGCAGGTGTCATCTGACCTTGACCTCATTTTCATGGTTCAGTGGTTATAGTTAAGTTTTTGTGTTTTGGTCTATTTTTCATATACTGTATGCAGTAGGTCTACCATATTTGGTGTATGGAATGATTGTAAGGTGTACATGTCTAGCTGGCAGGTGTCATCTGACCTTGACCTCATTTTCATGGTTCAGTGGACAAAGTTAAGTATTTGAGTTTTGGTCTTTTTTTCTAATACTATATGCAATAGTTCAACTATATCAATGTATATTTGGTGTATGGAAATATTTTATGATCTATTTGTCAGTCACGCAGGTTTTTTTTTTACCTTGACCTCATTTTCAAGGTTCATTGCTCAGTGTTAAGTTTTTGTGTTTTGGTCTGTTTTTCTTAAACTATAAGCAATAGGTCAACTATATTTGTTGTATGGAAGAATTGTTAGCTGTACATGCCTGCCTAGCATGGTTCATCTGACCTTGACCTCATTTTCATGGTTCATTGGTCAATGTTTAGTTTACTTGGTTAATGTTAAGTTTATGTGTCAGTTGTAATAAAGCTTTATATTTATCAACATAATATCAATGATTAGTAAAGAAGGCGAGACATTTCAGCGTGTGCACTCTTGTGTTAATCAGATATTATAAGCAAAGGTCAGCTTTATTCGCTGTATGGAATAATTGCATGGTGTTCATTTTGTCTAGCAGGGTTCATGATATCTGACCTTGACCTAATTTTTATGATTCATTAGTCAATGTTCAATTTGTGCAATTAGGTCTGTTTCTCAGATACTATAAGCAATAGTCTAACTATATTAGGTGTATAGTATGAAATTCAATCATGTTTTAGTAAAGCAGGCGAGAAATTTCAGTGTGTGCACTTTTGTTGTATCTTTTAATACAATGTTTTTTTTACCAATCTAATGAATAAAAGATAAATTTTACATAAACCCTTTAATCAGGTGATTACTATAGGTTTCATAACCACTGAGATTTGATTATCTGACATGGTTATCGCTTGATATCAACTTGAGTTATTAAATATCAATATAGTAATAAGTGATGTTTTGTTGAGTATATAACTATTATTGAAATTAAATAACAAGAGTTGAACAAGTGGTTGTTGTATGTCATGTATGTTGGTGTGGTTCATAAGTGTTTCTCGTTTTTTATATAGATTAGACCGTTTGTTTTCCTTTTCGAATTGTTTTACACTAGTCTTTTTGGGGTCCTTTATAGCTTGCTGTTCGTTGTGAGCCAAGTCTCCGTGTTGAAGACTGTACTTTGACCTATAATTGTTTACTTTTTACACATCGTGACTTGGATGGATAGTTGTCTCATTAGCACTCATACCACATCTTCTTATTTATATTAACACAACATTAGAATTGACAGAAGAAAGTCCCCTTTTGATTTTTTCAATTATTGGCTGCTTAGTCATTCAAGAGTTACGGATCATTGATCCTTAGATTTAAGGCAATTATACACAAATCCTGAACTTACTCCAGTATTCCTGGATTGATTTCCTCCAAACTTTACATTATTGTTGGGTTTGATGAAAGGAAGCTCCCATTTTGAGTTTTAAAGAATTTTTCAGTTTGTCACTCTAGAGTTATGGAACTTGAGCTGTACAGTAAATGGGCTACATTTTGTATGTCACAGGTTTTGGTACCACTTTGGCTCATCAATGCTCATTGAACTATAACCATGATAACTGAAAATAAAAGAGATAAATGCTTTATTTTTCTATTTCCAGTTATAGTTCAATGAGCCAAAGTTTTTTGTAAAATATTACCAAAATCTGCGACATAGCAGGGGCGTAGCTAGGCCAACATGATGTGTACTCAATGCCGGAAGGATGAAGTCAAAAGGCAAGGGTTCTGGGGGTCGCTTAAGGCCCACAGAAGCTCTGGGCCGGGGTTAATGGTGCAAAATCCAGCATTCTCACAATTTCCTGGGATTTAAATTGAACTCATGGAAATCTTATTTTCATGAGTAATTAGTCAATTTTTGAAAATAATTTGCAGGCCTCATCTCTTCTTTGAGGATATAAACAACATAGTACAGCGAGGTTAGAATTCTTTTGATTTTAACCATGCACATGTCAAATAATGTATTTATGATATACACGTTTGCTCAGATATTCAAATTTCTAAATGACATGTACATGTATGTGTATAATCATATTTTTGAAGAAAACTTGTTTATTAAAAATACATAAGTTGTTCAAGATATAAAAAAGAAGATGTGGTATGATTGCCAATGAGACAATGATGTATGTATTTATCTGTTCCAAAGATGGGTGCCACTACAACGCTACAAAAATGGACAAAGGAAGATAACCTCCATTCACAATGATTCAAATATAGTCTTATTTTTAATTTTATGCTCACATTGCAAAATGTTCCAAAATTAGAGCTATCTTAACAGTATGTTTTAAGGGAATATGATAGACACACATATTTTAATTAATGGAAATGTTGATTGTATCCTTTTTTTGTACTGAAGGATATATATTGTATTATTAAAATTGTCTTGAATGTACATGAAATATTTGCATCTTGATGTCTAGCAACAATCAATCAATCATGAGTTCTTTATTTTTTTGGACATTTGGTATATTTCTGCTTTAGGAAATACAGATGTGAAACCAAGGTGAAGTGGAATGCTGGTACTTGGGAAAATTAACTGAATGCAGGTTAGTAAGAGAAACAAAAAGGTCAGGACTGTTCAATAAATATGATCTTGATGATAGAATGCCAAGATAACAAGGAAAAGGGCACATGACATCAAATAAAAAGGACTGCCATCAACACAAAAGATTTTAAGGATTGATAGACACCATTTTTGATTATTGTCCTGCCTCAAGTGAATGGTAGAGGTGAGACTTAAGCATACAGATTCTTGTGATGGCATTTACATCAACAATTTATTAAAGTTTGTGACTAGGTCAGTTTAAAAGGAACTTTTAATGGTAATTAAATCAGTGACATTTTGGAATACATATAAACAAGTCTAAATTGAAAACAACGTTCAAACCTATTATTGCGTTGGATAAAAACCGCAATTTTTATACGTGTGCATGCAAAACATATATATATATATATATATATATATATATATATTCTTACCCCTAATCATGCTAATGGCCATGTATTAAATTTTGGTGGCATTTTTCACAGGGACTACAAATCATTTCTTTTCTGAAATTTAGAATAGCCTCTAAATTTCATGTTACAGATTTTTGACTCATAGCATATAGTTTCAGACAGTTTTTATACAACAGCAAAAATTTTGCGGTCATATATTGGTATCATGTCGTTGTCATCGGACGAAGACACATTGGTTTCCGGACAATAACTTTTGTTTAAGTGTATGGATTTCTATGAAATTTCACCATAAGGTTTATGACCACAAAAGGAAGGTTGGGATTGATTTTGGGGGTTATGGTCTTAACAGTTCAGGAATAAGGGGCCAATATGGAGCCCAAATAAGCATTTTTCTAGTTTCCAGACAATAACTTGTGAAATGGTGTATGGATCTCTCTGAAATTATACCACAAGTTACTGTATCACAAAGGGATGGTAAGAATTTGCTTTGGGGGGTTATGGCTCAAACTGTTTAGGAATTAGTGGCAAAAAAAGGGGAAATACAAGGGCTTCCAGGTTAATGGACAATTACTTAAGTACAAAACATAATTTTAAAGCAGTGTAAGGGAGGTAATTCAAACACATATTGTCAAATAACCTCCCTTACACTGCTTGTTAATTATTTATAAAGAAATGTATTGTCATTAGGTGATTAGCTGTCAATTTATTTTTAGAAGTTACTATTTTAAAAATGTTTAATAAAGGTAATTTAATTATAGCCATGATTATATATGTGAAGGAATTTTATTTTTACATATTACTTTTTAATGTTGCTAATGGAGGCTTTTTAATTTTAGGCATGATTATGATGTCATTTTCTATTTTTAAAATTATTTAATTTTAGCCATAATTATGTACATGATGTATGTGAAGGAATTAATTTTAGATATTACTATTTAATGTTGCTGATGAAAGTGTTTTAATTTTAGGCATGATTATGATGTCATTTTCTATTTTAATACTTTTATGATGTATTTAAATGGGTTTTATGGTTGCAAAGTCCTAGCTGTCAATTTATTTTTAAAAGTTACTTTTAAATGCTGATGAAGGAATTTTATTTTTAGGCAGTTAAGCTGCCTTATGCGAGCACCCTAGATTTGTGTTCTACCCAATAAATGCTGAAATACGTGCCATTGTTATTATCTAGCTGGATATAATGTTATTTATAACTAATTGAATAGTTTTTTCATACTTTTAATTCTGGATTACAAAAATATGACCAGAAAAAACCTTAAATGATCGTCGAACCACCCAAAAGTTTTGAAGTTGCACATAGGAAGTAGAGCACATTAGGAATCCTTATGTAGTTTATTATCCCCTGTGCTTTTGGTTAAGATGTCAAAGAACAATTGTATGAAATATTTAATCGCCGAAAATCTTTAAAGACAAGTAGTTTAGATTTCCCAAATGGCAAAAGTCGTAGGAATATTGTTTGTCGTCAATACGTGGTACAACTACGTCAGTAGTCTATTAATAAGTTCAACTGTTCATGCTGTTGGCGGCAATTTCAAATTAGAAGACGAAATTTTCGTATCATTTCAATTTGGAGGCAGGGGTTCAAATTAGCGGTGGTCCGAGGTCCGCGACCTTCCACTTTTGCAATCGGACTCTCGACTTGGTTACTAGCTACGCCCGACGGACCTTTCACTTGAAAGAAATTAAAAATAACTTTGCAAACCTTTTTACCAAAGTCTCTAAATAAACGATCTCAAAACGTATTTTCATCTTTATTATTCATAACAGCGATGTTCATTTTGTTCAACCGCTAGCTTTATACAGATAATCGCCGACAAGTAATGTGTAAATTCGAGTAAAATCGTATCTGACTGACAAAAACAACATCGAAAAACAATGGATGCCGTGTAGACAATTACAATATCGGGTCCGATTCCGGAAGCGGATAAGGGTAATTCCGGGTTTTGGAGATCAACTACAAAATAAATTTCAGGCAGGTGACAAAATACATCTATGCATGGTAAATAAATATAAACACTAGAAATGGAAACCAAAAGATATATGTAAAAGAAAGAAAAAGCAAAAAATATTTGATACAGAAACTCAAAATTACTTTCTGACAAATTTTAATGTCCAAATCCAATACAATGTGACAGCTGGGAACAGTATATCTAACAATATATATGTTCCTGGTGACAGTATAAATCTTCTTTATCAGTGATAAATGTTGATAATGCATGTAAGATGCTTTTAAAGTGTAAACATATTACTGCAATTTTTTTCTCAATTTTGAAGGGTCAGTTAAAATAGCTGGAAGTTTCTTACTTTGTTTTCACAAATAGTGCAACTAGATTATATGATACCTGAATGTAAGCAAATCATATGATATATAGGTGGAATCCTTTGGGTCACTCTACCCCCTCCTGTTTGATAACTTTGAAACGGATGAGATCCCCACCCCTAAACCATATATATTCATGTATGGGACTATATAACTAATCAAATGAAATATAGGGGGAAGTCCCTAGGGTTACCCCACCCTTCCTGTTTGAGAACTTGGAAACAGTCGAGATCCCCACCCCTAAACCATATATATTCATGTATGGGACAATATAACTAATCAAATGAAATACAGGGGAGTCCCTGGGGTCACCCCAACCCTCCTGTTTGGGAACTTTGAAATGGTCGAGATCCCCACCCCTAAACCAAATATATTCATGTATGGGACAATATAATAAATCAAATGAAATATAGAGGGAGTCCCTGCGGTCACCCCACCCCTCCTGTTTGAGAATTTGGAAACGGTCAAGATCCCAAGACAAGACAAGACAATTTATTTAAACTTAAGCACACGTATGGTGCTACAAGAGGATAACAATTATACATTAACAATTACATATATACTTATACATTTACAAGCAAGACACACAATAAATAAATAAGTGATATCATACAATAAAATTGAAATAAACCATATTTGGTTGATTTGTTTGCAAAATTCTTAATTGCAACGTGGATATGAAGTTATTGTAACATGCTTTGTATTATGAAAATATTTTTTCAATATGTCTTAGAAACATGCACACTTTTGTTAGCAGTGGCACGTTACAGTGTGATAATAGACCAGTAAGTTTCAATTGGGAAGGATTTTGTGTGTAATATGTAGGTATATACCTTTCTCTTAAAGACATAATTTGTTCATTGGAGCATACAAAAAAATAATGATCCCATAAACCATACATATTCATGTATGTGACAATATAACAAATGAAATGAAATATAGGGGGAGTCCTTGGGGGTCACTCCACCCCTCCTGTTTGAGAACTTGGAAACGGTCGAGATCCCCACCCCTTAACCATATATATTCATGTATGGGACAATATAACAAATCATATGAAATATAGGTTGAGTGCTTGGGGCCACTCTACCCCTTCCTGTTTGAGAATTTGAAAACGGTCGAGATCCCCACCCTAAACCATATATATTCATGTATGGGACAATATAACAAATCAAATGAAATATAGGGGCAGCTCCTATGGTCACTGTAAACCATCCTGTTTGAGAACTTGGAAACGGTCGAGATCCTCACCCCGAAACCATATATATTCATGTATGGAACTATCTAACAAATCAAATGAAATATAGGGGAGTCCCTGCAGTCACCCCACCCCTCCTGTTTGAGAACTTGGAAACAGTCGAGATCCCGACCTCTAAATTAAACCATATATATTCATGTATGGGACAGCAGAACTTATCAAATGAAATATTGTCCTGTTTGATAACTTGGAAACAGATGAGATCCCCACCCCTAAACCATATATACTTATGTATTTGGCAATATAACAAATCAAATGAAATATAGGGGAAGTCACTGGGGTCACCCCACCCCCTCCTGTTTGAAAACTTGATAACGGCCGAGATCCCCACCCCTAAACCATATATATATTCATGTATGGGACAACATAAAAAATCAAATGAAATATAGGGGTAGTCCCTAAGGTCACCCCATCCCCTCTTGTGTGTGTTTTAAGAACTTGTAAAAGTTTGAGATACCAACTCCTAAACCATATTCATTCCTGTTCGTCATTTCAAACAGATTTGAAGGTCACATATGCATATCACTTTACTAGACCTAATCAATGTGTACTAGACTTTGCCCAATGTCAGGCGACCATGGGAATGAATAATTATGGGAGCTTTGTTTGGGAGACTTCGTAACAGCATTCTGTTACAATTATTTCTTGTTTATTATAAAATTTTATTGATGCAAAAAATGAGTAGGTTTAAAGAATTTACCTTAATTATATTTTGAATAATTTCTGGTTCTATAAAAAATTTCATTTTAATATGGCTCATTTTAAAGAAAACATATCTTTCAAGCCCAAGAATGTTTGACCAACTTTATTATAATCACCTGTCATTTTATTCCAAACTTAGACATCATGGACTTGGGGTGAAGGCGGGGGTTATTTACATTTACTATGGGCAAGTCAGTCAGACCTCACCTTTGATCCCCGTAGTAGTAAACATTTGTCTGATTTGTGTCTCATAACTTTTGCACTGTAGAACACAAACTCAGTTTTCTTTCCAGGGAAGCAAGTCCATGCATACTATTACAAGCTCGTACTAAGTCAACTTGAACTACTAACAGTCAACTAATACCAACGTTAACTATCAACTAGAACAACTGCAATCATTTCGAACTTGTACCACTGCAGACACATGACCATTAAAAATATACTTGATATATGCGTTGCTTTGGAAAACCTTGATAAAATATGAACTATTTGCCTTAATAATTAATTCATTAAATGAACATAAATGCACAATATATGAATGTTTAATGTTTGTTCTTTTAAATCTTAAAAAAAATGAAGCAACATAGCCACAGTTTTCATAATTATGTTTGCCTTGGTTTTTGGTTAACTGCCTACAGCGCTTACAGTGCTTTGATTAGATATTACTATTAAAAGTTGCTGATGAAGGTTTTTTAATTTTAGCCATGACTATGATGTCATTTTCTATTTTAATACTTTTATGATGTATTTAAATGGGCTTTTATGTTTTAAAAAAAGCATTTTTCTAGTTTCCAGACAGTAACTTGTGATTGAGTGTATGGATCTCTCTAAAAATGTACTACAAGGTTTCATACTACAAAGCAAAGACTGCAATTGAGTTTGATGGTTAATGCTAAAAGGGGGATTCAAAAAGTTTGGGGGGAAGGAGGGGTTTCCAATTTTTTTTTAAAAGGGTTCATATTTTTTTTTTTAAATTTTCAAAATTTCAAATTTTTGAAGTTTCAAGAAGAAATCTTCAATTGCACAGTATTGTGCATTAGATTTGTAAGATCTTTGACCACATTTATTTTGTGTCAGAAACCTATATTATGTCAAAAATTTGATCACATTTATTTTGTGTCAGAAACCTATATTATGTCAAAAATTTGATCACAATCCAAATTGAGATAGTATCAAGCTTGAATATTGTGTCCAAATTTGCCCCAACTGTTCAGGGTTCCACCACTGCAGTTGTATCAGGCTGCGCTCAGTGAAGTATTTTCTTATCTAATGTCTATCTATTGAAGTGTTCATTAAAATAGCAAGAAACACATTTGGTATAAATATAAAAAATAAGTAGATGTGATATGATTGCCAATCCACCTAACTATTCACTAAAGTTCAAATGAAGTGGATGTAAGCAATTATAGGCAACGGTACAGCTGTCAACAATGAGAAAAACCAATACCGTTTAGTCAGACATGAAGCTTTAGGGCCCTGACATGAAAAATATGAAATAATTTAATTGAGAAAACTAACGGCCTAAGGCTAATGTATAAGAAAACAATTTGCCAAAACAAAAATGTAGTATTATAACTATTTTATTGTCTCGCCTTGACGGAGTCAAAAAGCGAGACATAGGTATGCTGTTTCCGGCAGCGTCGACGGCGGCGTCAACAATGTATTAGTTTGTGATTAGGTCTAGTTCATGGTGAACCACTAGTGGTAGGTCAATGATATTTGGTATGCAGTTGTATTAGCATTGGCACATCTCATTACCATGGAGATTATTTGGACCCGCCCCCTCAGTCAAGGTCTATCGACTTTGAAACTTTTCATAGTTTACATGTATAAGTTTGTGATTAGGTCAATTTATGGGGAACCACTAGTGGTAGGTCAATGATATTTGGTATGCATTTGTTTAAACATTGACATATCTCATTTCCATGGAGATTATTTGGCTCTGCCCCCTTAGTCATGGTCTATAGACTTTGAAAATTTTGCTAAGTTAACATGTATTAGTTTGTGATTAGGTCAGTTCAAGAGGAACCATTAGTGGTAGGCCAATGTTAATTGGTGTTCAGTTGTATAAGCATTAGCACATCTCATTTCTATGGAGAATATTTGGCCCCGCCCCTCAGTCATGGTCTTTTGACTTTGAAACTTTTCATAGTTTACATGTATTAGTTTGTGATTAGATCAGACTAAGATGAACTGCTAATGTTAAGTCAATGATATTTGGTATGCAAATGTATTGGCATTTGCAAGTATCATTTCCATGGAGATTATATAGCCCCACCCCTGATCATGGTTCATTGACTTTGAAACTTTTACATAGTTTAAATGTTAATGTTTGTGTTTAGGTTTGTTTAAAGGGAATGACTTATAATAAGTCAATGGTATTTGGTATGCAGTTGTATTAGCATTGGCACATCTCATTTCATGGAGATTGTTTAGCCATGTACCTTCAGTCATGGTTCATTGACTTTGAATATTTGCATAACTTACATGTTAAAGTATTGCTATTTTAATTTCAACATTTGCATATCAAAATTACAAAAAGGCGAGACATATCTCTGTGATAACAGTTTATATTACCAACTTTTGACTCTGGAGTATATAATTTTTCGACAGGTTACCTACTCTGTGGTAGGACATTATGGTAATAAGCCTATTAATAGAAACTAAAAGAAATTCATTTAGTTACTCCTACTTGACTGAGTGTCAGAAGGTCCTACCACAGAGAAGTTAACCTGTAGAAGAAATATATACTCTGGAGTCAAAATTGGTACAGGTAATATAACCCGAATAATTCAGTCATTATATTCCGCTGATCTACGATTACTACATTAACGTACCTCGTAAGTAGGAGAGATCGATTACGGGGAGGGACTGAATTATTCGGGTACCGGTAATATGAAAATATAATGTGAGCATACTTTATACCAAATGTGTTTCTTGCAATTCTCATGAACACTTCAATAGATAAACAGTAGAGAGAAACTGTCAACAGTAGAGATGATCAGCATACCTAGATCTTCCATTAGACATAATATGAGGGAACATGTTAAACCCTTGTTGCAGTAGGATGACATTTTCCTATGTGAAATGTTCCACAAAGGTATTGTAGAGAACAAAACATTGATGTTTCGTGCACAGTCAGCTCCACCCAGTAAGTGTTGATTGTTTGGTGTATCAGATGTTTCCATTGAAACTGTGGATGGCAATTGGTTACCAACAATGAGCGAAATCCGCAATCTTACTGTAAGAACTACTGACACATGCATGGCTCAGCTGACACAAGATTTAGGAGCCCAAAAGTGATAAATACGCATTCAACATACATTTATTGACATTTTGTGAAATTCCTTTAGTTACAAAAAATGTTTTATGCAAATCATTGTTTCAATTTGGTGATTTCAGTTGCTTATTTGTTAAATTTATACTCTTTTTACAATGAAAATATATACTTTTTTACAATGTTTTAGTGACAACATGAATGAGAAACAATGAATATCAAAAATTGAATAGTTTACCTCATAAAACTTTAATTGATGAATCATAATTTCTTTTTCATTTTTTTTTAACCCGTTGCAGGGGTCATGGGGGACATAGAAATACCGGGCGTCCATCTGTCTGTCTGTCAATCCATCCCTGCATCCTTTCGTCTGGTCTTGTTAGCACTCTCACTTGTACAATTCTTGCCAGATTTTTATTAATCTTATATCATAGATTTTTATCATCAATGTCTTGGAAGCGTTCGTAAATCAGTGCCGATCAACTAAATTTTAAAGAGTTTTGCCCCTTTGGAAACATTAGTTATATGGAAAATTGCATCGTTAGCACTCTCATGTGTACAATTCTTGCCGGATTTTTGTGAAACTTATGTTATAGGTTTATATCAGCAATGTCTCAGACAAGTTCGAAGATCAGAGTCAATCTATATTTTTTAAAAAGAGTTAACGTTATGTGCCTTAGAAATATATATTATATGGAAATTTGCATTGTAAATGCTCACACATATACAATTTTTGCCAGATTTTTATCAAATTCATATCAAAGGTTTATAACAGAAATTTCTCTGAAAATTTCGAAATTAAGTGCTGATCAAAGATTTTATTGAGTTATGGCCCTTTATCTCTAAGATAATTTTAAAAAGTTTCAAAAAACAAAAAACAAACAAAAAAAATGTACAACATGGGGGACTTTGGAAATCTGTTCTATTATTTATAGATGGTTTACTTTTAAGAAAATATTTCAGATGTTAACCAAGTTAAGAAACAGACCTCAGGAAAATCGTGAAAAGTGCAGCTGTGAGCATAAAGATCCAAATATGCATGAATAGCTGTGATGATCTTTGTCTAAGGAAAAAAAGATAGAACTCTGTACAAAAGATAGCTATAAGCTAAATTATTATAGCCTTACATCATGGCATCTAGACTCTCACAAGAGGAAGAAAACTATGTCAGGATGAGCTTGCTACTGACAGGAATATCTCCTCGTGCAGCACGAGCTTTGTTTGATCGTGAATTTGTTCCAGCATGCTTGAATGCCACAATAAAGAAAGAGTACAATAAACTTAGAGAACTTCAGAAGAAGCGAATAATTAACCAGCCACAGTGGAACCTACTGTTCCCAAGACGTCCTGGTAAGTAGCATTTGCCTAGCTACGTACGTTAACATCAAAAGGCACATGTCTACACAGTGTGAAACTAAATAACAAAAAATAGTTGTGTTTCCAGTCGCCCAACCTAATTTATTTTAAAAGCTCTTCCTTTAGCATTTTAAGGTAGCAATATACAGTTAGAAGGTGGATAACGCATTTTGGCCGTGAATTTTTTAGTTCTATATGAAAGTTATTGTGCAATAAAATTGATTTTTAGATTGCTGAAGAATAATATAGCCTTCAAAAGTGGGTTTATGTAAACATCAAGATTTGTTTTGCATGTTATAGGCCATTTTCTGTTTGACAGTCCGTATTTTCACATCTGTACCGCCCATGTCCATAAATAATTGTAGTGTTTCCAAAAAATATTTAAGCCTCAAATTTTCCAATTCAGTTTTATGGAAAAATGAGGTGAAATGCATATGATTTTTATCTGATCTATAGATCGATATATGTCAATGGTTTCAGAAAAAGTATCACTTGAATGGATTGCAATTCTACTTTGGACCTAATTTTGGTGACATTTTCACTCCACCTTTTTGCAATATTTTTTATCAAATAAATGCAGATTGTTGCCATGGTTTCACCAAAGAGAGATTATATTTCACCATTTCAACTATTGAAAATAAAGTCTATGGAAGATGCTGTTTCCATACATATGATCATGAACATACATAACACAAACATTTAAGCCTTATTTGTTAGAAAGCAAGGGAAAGAGGGTTGTTAAAAATTATGAGTGTCAATTTTTAAGTTTTTTTCCATAACTGTGTATTACTACCTTAGCTTGTCCCTAAATCTTCTGGGTCTAATAAGCTCTATTTAAAGGAACGTTTTTGTGACCTTGAATAATAATAATAATAATAAATGTGTCACAATTGACTTCATATATCTACACAATTCACGACATTCCAATTTTGATTTTGTAAATGAATTGCCCGATTGACTTGGCGTCATTTGGGGGGAAATGCTTCAAAGGACATTGTGACGTAAATATATTTGCTTTGTGATGTCAAAGTTTTCCGGGAAAATAACCAATTGGAAGATCACGTAGGAACTGATGAAATGGACCCAAAGACATAACAGATTGATGGTTTAAAAACACAATTCCACATGTGCAAGCAGGCAAAAAAAATAATTCTTTGCTATTTTAGGGACATGTAACAGGAAACAAAACTATTTATTTTGGTGCCTAAATACTTGTGGTAGTGGAGCCATTTTGTTTTCTTGTCTTTGACTCTATCGTCCCTGACAGACATAAATCGTAGACCTGTATACTTAACAGTCTTTATCATCAAACAAACAAAAATAACTACCTCAACACAACAAAATGTTTCCATCATAATAATGCAAGGGTGGATCCCAGAATTTGTCATTTTTAGCTCACCTGGCCTAAAGGGCCAAGTGAGCTTTTCTCATCACTTTGCATCCGTCGTCGTCTGTTAACTTTTACAAAAATCTTCTTCTCTGAAACTACTGGGTCAAATTTAACCAAACTTGTTCACAATCATCATTGGGGTATCTAGTTTAAAAAATATGTCCGGTGATCCGGTCAACCAACCAAGATGGCCGCCATGGCTAAAAATAGAACATAGGGGTAAAATGTAGATTTTGGCTTATATCTCTGAAACCAAAGCATTTAGAGCAAATCTGACATGGGGTAAAATTGTTTATCAGGTCAAGATCTATCTGCCCTGAAATTTTCAGATGAATCTGACAACCCGTTGTTGGGTTGCTGCCCCTGAATTGGAAATTTTAAGGAAATTTTGCCGTTTTTGGTTATTATCTTGAATATTATTATAGATAGAGATAAACTGTAAACAGCAATAATGTTCAGCAGAGTAAGATCTATAATTAAGTCAATTTGACCAAAATGGTCAGTTGACCCCTTAAGGAGTTATTGCTCTTTATAATCAATTTTTAACCATTTTTCATAAATTTTTGTAATCTTTTACAAAAATCTTCTCCTCTGAAACTACTAAGACAAATTTAACCAAACTTGTCCACAATCATCATTAGGGTATATATAGTTAAAAAATGTGTCCGATGACCCCACCCGCGAACCAAGATGGCCGACATGGCTAAAAAATAGTACATAGGGTAAAATGCAGTTTTTGGCTCATATCTCTGAAACCAAAGCATTTAGAGCAAATCTGACATGGTGTAAAATTGCTTATCAGGTCAAGATCTATCTGCCTTGAAATTTTCAGACCAATCAGGCAAATCGTTGTTTGGTTGCTGCCTCAGAATTGGTAATTTTAATGAAATTTTGTTGTTTTTGGTTATTATCTTGAATATTATTATAGATAGAGATAAACTGTAAACAGCAATAATGTTCAGCAAAGTAAGATCTACAATTAAGTCAACTTGACCAAAATGGTCAGTTGACCCCTTAAGGAGTAATTGCCCTTTATAGTCAATTTTTAACCATTCTCGAAAATATTTGTAATCTTTTACAAAAATCTTCTCCTCTGAAACTACTTAGACAAATTTAACCAAACTTTTACACAATCATCATTAGGGTATATAGTTTAAAAAATGTGTCAGATGACCCCGCCCGCGAACCAAGATGGCCGACATGGCTAAAAATAGAACATAGGGGTAAAATGTAGATTTTGGCTTATATCTCTAGATCTGAAACCAAAGCATTTAGAGTAAATCTGACATAGGGTAAAACTGATTATCAGGTCAAGATCTATCTGCCCTGAAATTTTCAGACCAATCAGGCAACACGTTGTTGGGTTGCTGCCCCTGAATTGGTTATTATCTTGAATATTATTATAGATAGAGATAAACTGTAAACAGCAATAATGTACAGCAAAGTAAGATCTACAAATAAGTCAACATGACCAAAATTGTCAATTGACCCCTTAAGGAGTTTTTGCCCTTGATAGTCAATTTTTTACAATTTTTTCATAAATTTTGTAAATTTTTGTAAATTTTTACAAAATATTTTCCACTGTTACTACTGGGCCAAGTTCATTATAGATAGAGATAATTGTAAGCAGCAAGAATGTTCAGTAAAGTAAGATCTACAAACACATCACCATCACCAAAACACAATTTTGTCATGAATCCATCTTTGTCCTTTGTTTAATATGCACATATACCAAGGTGAGCGACACAGGCTCTTTAGAGACACTAGTTTGAGGATGCCTGTGTGCAAGCGATCACATTATTCTATATATGTAAATTATAATGCACATGCATCAGTGCAAGTCCATTTAGTCGTTTCTGGCCCATTGTTGCATGTAAAAATGTTTTCAGTAACCTGAGCCCACTATTAGAATGCACCACATTCACAACTTGTTACACTCATGGTGCAAACAATTATGATGATGGCAAAAATGTTCGATAGTCAAGCTTGTACCAGAATTGAAACTCTTATCTGATACATGTTTTGCATCATCCCTATGACCTCTAATTGGAATGTTTGCTTACCTCAAAGCAAATAAATTTACAGATCGACTTTAAAACAGTTCTGTTTGCTTTGATTTGCTCAGTCATGGCTCAATCAATAAAAGTTTGTATATTGACCACCTTTTTCTCAATATTGTCAAGGAAAAGCTGTGCTTTGGCTCTTGCCTCAGCATGGCTCTTTTTACAAAGTTTGTCATCTCGCCAAAATGTTCGTTAAGTCTAGTACAAGCATGTGCCATTTCATTTAATGGTTTGTATGCTAGGGTTCCCAAATTGTCAACCCCAAATAGAGCACAATATATGCAATAAGCTCCTTCTTTTGAAGGGGAGTACACAAGCCTGTCATATTGATTCAGACAAAATCTCTGAAACTGTCTGTTCTTTCCTGTGTATTTCTTTCACTACTCAATGATTTTATGATCTTGCATATATTTTATTTTAGATGGACCTGATTCTAAAACATTTGATGTAACTCTAATAATAACATTAATTAGACACCTGACTGATCTGACCCCTCCTCATGGTGGATATGACTGGTTACCATCTGATAATGAAACTACACCAACCTCAGATTTAGCCAGGATAAAATATTACAGAAATATTTTGGCTCACCTGGATGAGGGGAAAATAGACAATACTACATTCACCACAGCATGGGACAATATAACTAATGTAAGTTCATTTTAAATAATATGTTGTTCACCACATTTAATGGACGATATTACTGAATCAACTAGTAGCTTAATATCTTAACCCTTTCCCTTTTTATACGCCCGTTTATGGGACGTATTATGGTATACCTCTGTCCGTCCGTCTGTTTGTCTGTCTGTCTGTCCGTTCGTCGTCAACATGTCGGACAATAACTCAAAAACGCTTGAACCAATTCGCATGAAACTTCGGTGAATTGTTTATATCTATTGACGTGAGCTCCCTTTTGTTTTTTATAAATTTTAGATTTTATGTTTTCGAGTTCTGGGGTTTTATTCATTAAAAAAAGGGGATTTTCCATTTTTAGCTCACCTGGCCCGAAGAAATTTTGCCGTTTTTGGTTATTATCTTGAATATTATTATAGATAGAGATAAACTGTAAACAGCAATAATGTTCAGCAAAGTAAGATCTACAAATAAGTCAGCTTGACCAAAATGGTCAGTTGACCCCTTAAGGAGTTATTGCCCTTTATAATTAATTTTTAACCATTTTTTCGTAAATTTTTGTAATCTTTTACAAAAATCTTCTCCTCTGAAACTACTTGGCCAAATTTGTCCAAACTTGGCCACAATCATCATTGGGGTATTAAGTTTAAAAAATGTGTCCAGTGACCCGGCCAACCAATCAAGATGGCCGCCATGGCTAAAAATAGAACATAGGGGTAAAATGTAGATTTTGGCTTATATCTCTGAAACCAAAGCATTTAGAGCAAATCTGACAGATTAAAATTGTTCATTAGGTCAAGATCTATCTGCCCTGAAATTTTCAGAACAATTAGGCAACACGTTGTTGGGTTGCTGCCCCTGAATTGGTCATTTTAAGAAAATTTTGCAGCTTATGGTTTTTATCTTGAATATTATTATAGATAGAGATAAACTGTAAACGGCAATAATGTACAGCAAAGTAAGATCTACAAAAAAGTCAACATGATCAAAATTGTCAATTGTCCCCTTAAGGAGTTTTTGCCCTTTATAGTCAATTTTTTACAATTTTCATAAATTTTGTAAATTTTTGTAAATTTTTACATAATATTTTCCACTGTAACTACTGGGCCAAGTTCATTATAGATAAAGATAATAGTAAGGAGCAAGAATGTTCAGTAGAGTAAGATCTACAAACACATCACCATCACCGAAACACAATTTTGTCATGAATCCATCTGTGTCCTTTGTTTGATATGCACATAGACCAAGGTGAGCGACACAGGCTCTTTAGAGCCTCTAGTTCAGGCTATAACTCAAAAATGCTTTCAGCAGTTTTCATGAAACTTTGGTGAATTGTTTATATCTATTGACGTAAGCTCCCTTTTGATTTTTATAAATTTTAGATTTTACGTTTCAGAGTTATGTGATTTTATTCATAAAAAAGGGGATTTTCAAGTTTTCAGACAAATTGCTTTGAGCAGTTATCATGAAACTTTAGTGACTGGTTTATATTTACGAAGATAACCTCCCTTTAGTTTTTCATGAATTTCTGATATGACATTGAGAAGTAATTGAACTTTATTCTTTGAAAAAGCGAAGGGCGTATCATGTGCTCATGGCGCAGCTGTTTATTAATATTGGTCAGTGGCATAACAAAAGGTACATTTATACAAACCCTACAATAGAATCAATACAGGAAGAGTATTTTCAGTGGCTGTTATAATATTTGTATGCCCCCGCCGTAGCGTAGGAGGCATTAAGTTTTACCTTTGTCTGTCTGTATGTCCATCTGTATGTCCGTACGTCCAGAAATTGGTTTCCGTTCTCTAACTTAAGTTTACCTCAATCAAATGCTATGAAACTTATACACAAAACTCAGATCAAGTATGAATTTGGGTAGCTTCTTTATTACTGTTCCTGAGTTATGTCCCTTTATAACGTTATATGCAAGCAGGGGCATCATCTGCATGATCTGTGTCCCATGGACACATACCCCATTTATTTATATACCGGTACATTAATAAAAGATTCTGTGCTTGCTATATACATTGGCCATGTACTCGTTGTACAATTTGTTATTTTTTGACATTCTATCTTTTCAGCTCAACTGACCGAAACGTTTTTTCTCATCACTTGGCATCCGCCATCAGTCGTCCACTGTTGTTGTTTCACTTTACAAAATTTTTTTACTCTGAAACTATTTTGTCAAATTTAACCAATCTTAGCCACAAACATTATTGCGGTATGTAGTTTTAAAAATGTGTCTGATGCCCCGCCTGCCACCCAACATGGCCGACATGTTTAAAAATAGAACATATAGCCCTAGGTAAAATGCAAGTTTTGTCTATTATCTTGAAAACCCCTATGATTAGGGAAATTCTGACAGGCGCAGAAATGTTCAGAATGTTGAGATCTACCTGCTGTTCATTTACATCAAAACTGTCAAGCGACTTCTTCTAGGAGTTATTGCCCTTCAGTTTCATATTTTAACAATTTTTTTTCGTTTTTGCTGATTATTTTGAAAACTGAAAAAGATAGAGAAAAACTTTATCTAAGAAAAATGATCAAAAAGACAAGATCTACAAATGAGTCAAACATGGCTTAAATTGTCAGACGACTCCTTATTGGAGCTAATGTCCTTTTACTATGAATTTTACTAATTTTTTTGCATTTTTGATTATTATCTTACAAAACTCTTCTCCTCTGAAACTACAGGGCAAAATTTAACCAAACTTGGCCGCAATTATTATGAATGTGTCATGTTTAAAAAATGTGTCTGATGGTCTGGGCTGCAAACAAACATGGCTGACATGGCTAAAGATAGAATATAGGGGTAAAGTGCAAGTTTTGTCTATTATCTTGAAAACTGCTATGAATAGAGATAATCCAACAGGGACAGAAATGTTCATAATGTTGATATCTACCTGCTGTCCATTTTAAGTCAAACCTGTCAGAGGACTTCTTATAGGACTTATTGCCCTTAAATGTCAAATTATACCTTTTTTTTTCATTTTTATATGACCGCAAAAAAAATTTGTGGTCGTCTATTGGTATGACGTTGGCGTCGTCGTCCGAAGACACATTGGTTTTCGCACTCTAACTTTAGTTTAAGTGAATGGATCTCTATGAAATTTTATCATAAGGTTCAATACCACAAAAGGAAGGTTGGGATTGATTTTGGGGGTTATGGTACCCACAGTTAAGGAATTAGGGGCCAAAAATAAGCATTTTTGTAACTTCCAGACATAACTTGTGTGTTAGTGTATGGATCTCTCTGACATTGTACCATAAGGTTTCATATCACAAAGGGAATACTGGGATTGATTTTGGGGGTAATTGCCTCAAAATTTTAGGAATTAGGGGCCAAAAATAAGCATTTTTCTAGTTTCAAGACAATAACTTGTGTTCAAGTGTATGGATCTCTCTGAAATTGTACTGCAAGGTACCATACCACAAAGGGAAGGCTGGGATTGATTTTGGGGGTAATTGCCTCAAAATTTTTGGAATTAGGGGCCAAAAAGGGGCAAAAAACAAGCATTTTTCTAGTTTCAGGACAATAACTTGTGTCTTAGTGTATGGATCTTTATGAAATTGTACTACAAGGTTCCATATCAGAAAGGGAAAGCTGGGTTTGAGTTTGGGGATAATTGCCCTCAACGTTTAGGAATTTGGGGCCAAAAAGGGCATTTTTCTAGTTTCCAGACAATAACTTGTGTTAAAGTGTATGAATCTCTCTGAAATTGTACTGCAAGGTACATTGTACCATACCACAAAGGGAAGGCTGGGATTGAGTTTGGGGGTGATGAATCATAAAGGGGTTTCAAAAAATTTGGGGGGGATTTTTTTTTCTTTAAAATTTTCCATTTTAAATTGGTTCTTTCTGATTTATATATAAAAGCAAATAATAATGATATGGTTTGAATAAGTAAATTAAAAATTTATAAGTTCTTAGACCACATTCATTCTGTGTCAGAAACCTATGCTGTGTCAAATATTTGATCACAATCCAAATTCAGTACCCCTACAGAAAAAAAAGTTGAGGGCCAGTTGAGGGCCATGTGGCGGACAGTTGAGGGCTAGCTGTTTTAAGCAAAATAGTTGAGGGCTAGGGGTTGAGCATCTTAGCTCAACTCAAACCTGGCCAAGCACTGTATGTTTGATAGATGTCGCTCAACTGGCCCTCAACTGAAGCTGGCCATTAAGTTGAGGAAAAGTTGAGCAATTGATCTTTGGTTTTCATATAGTTGAGCAAAAGTTGAGCATTCAGACTTTGAATTTTTTGTAGTTGCATGGATTTTTCTAGCATTCCACAGGGTCCGGTATTCGGACCCATTCCCAATGGCAAATACCCTACATTTTTCCCAATTTTGGGAGCAAAATTCCCAAACGATCTCAAAATTTATTTTCATCTTTATTATTCATGACAGCGATGTTCATTTTGTTCAACCGCTAGCTTTATGCCGAAAATCGCCAACAAGTAATGTGTAAATCCGAGTAAAATCGTATATGACTGACAAAAACAACATTGAAAAACAATGGATGCCATAAACCGGAAATGAAGACAATAACAATACCGGGTCAATTCCGGGGACGGATAAGGGTAATTCTGGGTTTGCCGATCAAATACAATAAAAAAATAATAATTCCAGGCAGGTGACAAAATACATGTTGATGATGAAATATAAACACTAGAATTGAAAACCAAAAGAAATATGGGAAAACAAGAAAAAACAGGAAATAATTTATACAGAAACTCAAAATTACTTTTAGTCAAGGATTTGTATTGTTTTAGTTCACAAATTTTCAAGTCAAAATCCAATAAAATGTGACAGTAATTTTCCTAATCATTAATAAATGTTGATATTACATGTAGATGTTTTTATAGTGTAAACATATAACTACAATTCCAAGAGGTAATTTCTTCTCTATTTTGAAGGGCCAGTAAAATTCTGGAAGTTTCTTACTTTATTTTCACAATAAAAGATAATTTTAATAATTTAATTTTGGATGTAACGCGTCTTCTGATTGGCTGACGTTGT